TACTTCTCAAAATTTGATTTGAGGTCGGGTTACCACCAGTTGTGTATCCAGGAGGAAGATGTTCCCAAAATGGCGTTTCAGACCCGCTATGGTCACTACGAGTTTGTGGTAATGCCCTTCGGATTGACAAATGCACCAGCTGTGTTCATGGACCTGATAAATCGGGTATGTCGACCTTACTTAGATAAATTTGTGATAGTATTCATCGATAACATATTGATCTATTCACGAAGTAAGGAAGAGCACAATCAACATCTACGATAAGTCCTGGAGACATTGAGGACGGAAAAGCTATATGCCAAGTTTTCCAAATATGAATTTTGGATCTGAGAGGTGGACTTCTTGGGTAATGTGGTCAGCAAAGAGGGAATACATGTGGACCCCTCCAAAATCATGGAAATTAAGAACTAGAAAGCACCAAGAACCCGACAGAGATCCACCACTTCTTAGATCTTGATGGCTACTACAAGAGATTCATAAAGGACTTCTCTAATATCGCAAAGCCACTCACCACCTTGACCCAAAAGGGTGTAATCTTCAACTGGGAGGAGAAACAAGATGCTGCTTTCCAGATGCTAAAGTAATCCCTATGCAACGCCCCTATCGTGTATCTTCCAGAAGGAACCGATGACTTTGAGATCTACTGCGACGCTTCAAATCAGGGTCTTGGGTGTGTGCTCATGCAACGAGAAAAGGTCATTTCCTATGCCTCCAGACAACTTAAGACTCACGAAGTTAACTACACCATACATAACCTCGAATTAGGAGCTATGGTGTTTTCTTTGAAAATCTGGAGACACTGTCTTTATGGCACGAAGTGCACAATCTTCACGGACCATAAAAGTCTCCAGTGCATCTTCGATCAAAAGGAACTCAACATGAGGCAACAACAATGGGTGGAGCTACTAAACGATTACGAATGTGAAATTCGTTATCATCCAGGCAAGGCCAACATGGTAGCAGATGCCCTCAGCCGAAAAGAATACTCAGGTCTTCGAGTAAAGTCGTTGACCATAACTATCCATTCACACCTATCCACCCAGATCAAAGAGGCCCAGCTGGAAGCCTTGAAAACTGAAAATGTCTCCAAAGAATCCTTGAGAGGAATGGATAAAATTTTGGATGTCAAGGGTGACGGAGCTCGTTATCTCTTGGATCAGATCTAAACACCAAAGTTCGGAGGATTCAGAGATGTTGTGATGAACGAGGCTCACAATACTGGATACCCTGTTCATCCCGTTTCAGACAAGATATACCTGGACCTCAAGAAACTTTACTGGTGGCCAAACATGAAATCCAAAATCGCTACCTATGTGGGAAAGTTCCTGACTTGCGCTAAGGTCAAGGTAGAATACCAAAAGCCCTCCGGTTTACTAAAACAACTAAAAATACCCGAGTTGAGTTGGGAGCGAATAACCATGGACTTCATCACCAAGTTACCCAAGATGACAGGTGGACTGGACACCATCTAGGTGATCGTTGATAGATTAACTAAATCCGCGCACTTCCTACCAATAAAAGAGACGAACAAGATGGAGAAACTGACCAAAACATACATTTAAGAAATCATGCGACTGCATGGAGTACCAATATCCATTATCTCCGACAGGGATAGTAGATTCACCTCACGGTTCTGGAAGCCACTACAAAAATCCCTAGGAACTAAACTCAACATGAATACGACCTACCACCCACATACCGAAAGACAGAGCGAAAGAACTATCCTAACATTGGAGGATATACTGAGAGCTTGTGTGATAGACTTTGGTAAAGATTGAGATACCCATTTACCGCTCGTCGAATTCTCATACAAAAATAGCTATCACACTAGCATCGGAGTTGCTCCATTCAAAGCCCTCTATGGCTACAAGTGCAGGTCACCTCTGTGCTGGGTTGAAGTGGGTGACACACAACTAGAAAAGGGCCAAGTTCCAGACAACACTCTCATCGACCCCGAGATCATAAGGGTAACAACGGAGAATATCGTTCAAATCTGTGAACAGCTGAAAGCATCTAGGGACCTACAAAAGAGTTATGCAAATAAAAGACGCAAACCCTTGGAATTCTAGGTGGTTGACCACTTTCTATTAAAGGTCTCACCCTGGAAGGGAATGATATGATTTAGAAAGCGTGGGAAACTAAATCCAAGGTACATCGGGCCTTTCGAAATCGTTGCTAGAATCGGCTCGGTAGCTTACAAACTCCAACTACCACAATAACTTAGTAACGTACACCCCACCTTCAACGTGTCCAATCTAAAGAAATTTTTGTCCGACGAAACTCTTGTAATCTCACTCGATGAAATTGAGGTAAATGAAAGTCTCAACTTCATCGAAGAGCTAGTGGAAATCATGGATACAAAAATTAAGAGAACAAGGCAAAGTCGTATACCAATAGTAAAAGTCTGTTGGAACGCCAAACGAGGACCTGAATTCACATGGGAACGAGAAGATCAAATGAAACAAAAGTACCCACATTTTATCCCCAACACTTGAAATCCCACTCAAAGTTTAAATTTCGAGACGAAATTCCTTCTAACAGGGGGGATGATGTGACAACTTAAAAAATTCTAGGACAAACTAGGTCTAAACTTCAACCACGTACCAGTGAATTCACAATGTAACTTGATGCAATAGAACTATGATTGTCATGAAGGATGTTTACATAAGTTATTATATGCATTATTTGAAATCCATGTCGTAATAAACCTAGGAAAGTCAAACAAAGATAAAATGGTTATTACATAAAAGAATACTTGTGCCATGCCTTTGAGATTTTGGTTGAGTGTCACCAAAATCTCCCTTCAAAGATCAAACCATAAGACCGAAATCACTAGATTATGGCCCGTTGGGACCGAAATCACCTTCAAGGGGAAACCACAAGACCGAAAACACCTAGTTAAGGCTCATTAAGGCCGAAATCCCTTCATCAGGGACCAAAATCTCTTTCTTAGGTAATGCCATGACCAAAATATACTTTGTGACTGGGGTATAAGATGATTTCAGTCATGCTAGGACTGAAATCAACCTTATGTTGGCCGAAATCTCCAAATGGTGGCCAAGTGGTGCCACTTGAATTGTTGAATTAGCTTCCTAAGGTGTTAAGTGCACATACCAAGGCAAGTGTCACCTCATAATCTTATCCTTCTCATTCTATTTAATCATGATTTGAAGAACCATTTCCAAACTCATTTCTTAGTAAACATATTCCCCACCATTCTCTCAAATACTCAAAGAGACATTTCTCTCAAGACTCAAAACCCATTTCCTTCATTATTCAAGTTCAAAGATCCCAAGAAACATTCCTCAAATAGTTATAAGTTCTTGGTAAGTAATCTTTATATTAGCTAGTGTTTATATAACACTTGTAATACTAGTCTCATATATTCAGACATTATTATGTGTTATAAACTCATAGGATTCAAACAATGTCTCGTACTCTAACTCGAAGATCATCGTTTTATCTCGTTATCTAGACGCAACCACACATAAGGTGAGTTCACACCTCTACATTTTTCAAGACTTTTTCTATGTCTTAGAGGGGGAATACAAGAAACACATAAGAATATTTATGTTAAAACACAAACATTTAAATAAGTAATTTTACCATTTTTACGAATAGTGTTAAGTACGCGAAATGACTTTACTATCAACCGCGTATATATTTATGTACAACATTTTGATAAAAATGTAAAGATATGAAAAATGGTTACAAAATACACTACATTATTCTTATATATATATATATATATATATATATATATATATATATATATATATATATATATATATATATATATATATATTAATTACGAAACGTTCATTTCATTAAACTATATAAAATAGTTTATGAAACTTTACCCCTTAGTAACCCGTTGAGCAAATAGTAAAATTATATAAAGTACATATATAATTGTTTTACGACATTTTTGATATTATCCTCGAAAGAGGGGACAATTTCATGTACAAACATTCATTTCAAAAACACGTACAATCATTGAATAAATTTGTGAGAATTGTCTTCATCGTACCTAACTGAGGTATACATGAAAGTCCTGTATTTATAACCGGAATCTCCGATACGAGAGTCTAATACTTGTGTATAGATTTATACGGGACTGATGATCTCACATCTTGACTACTAGCTATAGTCAGACCGGCAAGTTATGGATGACAAATGTCATAAATAACTCGGCACCTGAAGAACGACGAGGCAGACACTACATCTTAAAAGCACAATAATGAAAACTCACATAGGGAAACGACTATATGTATATTTTACACGAAAACACATTTCTTCAAATGGTTTTATACATGAATAAAATTATATATTACCACTTTAAGTACGGAAAACACTAGTACATTTTGGTCTTTGAACATTTAAGACTAATAAACACTATCATTTTACAAGTGAACGGCATACATTTTATTTATCTGAAAATATCGGATTTTCTAGAAACAAACACAAAATCTTTTCATGGAAAGACTTACTATTTTTTCATAACAAACTATTATGAACTAATCAACTTAAATATTAACATATTATATGGTTACCTGCTATTACCTATTATAGTAGGTAACTATCGTAATTTGTGAAACTATTTAACAAATTAAGATTAAAAAATAATTACCCTTGCAAGTTATTTTCTCTTTATTTATGATGTTTTTCATTTATTTTAAAATGATGGAGGTGAACTTTTGTGAAAAAGAAAGGGTTAAAATAGGACCATAACTAAACTTTATTGACTATGGCTGCTTGCTTTACTATTACTGTACAACTGGTAAAGTTCAACATCGTCTGGTTGGGCTTTAACTATCCAATACAGTTGGAACCTGATCGGTTTAAATCCAACACGTTTTTATTTAAAAAAACAAAAATGAAAAGCCAAAAAGTTGGCTGAAAATAGAAAATTTCAGTTCATGACAAAGGGTAATTTCGTCATTGCAGAAAACAGTGCATTTTAAAAAGCCTAAACGAGACAAACACGAAGTCCAGCGATAAGGACTCAACTGCATGTGAAATAAAAATGGACCCTGAAACACTCTCGGCGAACTTGTTTAAGTGGGACACCAGAGCCGCCCTGGCTCCGCCTGCGTCCCGTATTTACGAACCCATAACATTACAACAACAGCCGCAGCAACCACCACCTCCTCCTCCGTCCATGGTCGCAACCTCGGCGGGGATGGGTGGCTATTTGGTCCGTGATAACAGGGATCTTGGAGGGTTGGAGGAGGTGTTCCATGCTTACGGTGTACGGTATTTCACGGCCACGAAGATAGCGGAGCTTGGGTTCACGGCGAACACGCTGTTGGACATGAAAGATGAAGAGCTCGACGAGATGATGAACAGCTTGTCCCATATTTTCCGATGGGATTTACTTGTTGGTGAGAGGTACGGCATCAAAGCCGCCGTCAGAGCGGAGCGACGCCGCCAGGAGGAGGAGGATTCGAGGCGGCGCTACCTTCTTTCTTCCGACACTACCAACACCCTTGACGCTCTATCTCAAGAAGGTTCGTGTATTTTCATACATTTTTCCATGCAGAAACATAAAAAATAATTACCTTCTGTTTGATATGCTTTGAAGTTTATCACTATTTGATAAAATTCTAAGTTTTATTGTTGTTAATTTTTTTGGCAAAGGCTTGTCGGAAGAACCGGTGCAACAAGAAAATGAAGCTGCGGGGAGTGGCGGTGGCGGAGGTGCATGGGAGATGGCGGCGATTGGGAGCTGTGCAGGAGGAAAGGCGAAGCAAGGTAACCAACGGAGGGGCAAGCAAATTCGTGTAAGGGGTAGAATCGGATCGTCTTCACAAGTGGTTGGAGGAGATGATAATTACGAGAATGAAAGTGAGGACGATCCAGAGAATGGTGGCGGTGGCGGAGTAGAGCGGCAGAGAGAGCATCCGTTCATTGTGACTGAGCCGGGGGAGGTGGCGCGTGGAAAAAAGAATGGACTTGATTACCTGTTTCATCTATACGAACAGTGCCGTGATTTCTTGATCCAAGTTCAGAGTATTGCGAAAGAGAGGGGTGAAAAATGTCCAACCAAGGTATTATCATTTTCTAATTTTCCAACATATTCATATTAATAAAGAATAATAACTTTATATAAAGATAACTAGTATAAAATTTAAAAGATATACATACTTATCTAACTTTTTATTTTTTAAAACAATGTTAAATTCGAAGTTTATTTATTTGGGCAACCAATTTTTACAACATTGTAACTATATTTTTGTTTCCTTTCAAAAGTAAACGATTTGTTTTTAGATAATTTTTTGTAATCATGAGAAGCTAGCTAGTAGACAGTAAATACTCATGACATCTATCAAATCTTCTTTTATTTAGAATTATAATTATTACCATGATTAAAGTATATATCCTGCCAATAATAATAGAAATTCGAATGATTAACACTAAATTACATAGGTTACTTTTGGCAAATTTTACCTTAATACAATTGTGTTTCCGAGCGATTTTTATTTTAGACAAATAATGAATCATTTTTTAGTAGTCTAAGTTAAAAACATGTATTCAAATAAAAATCTGTTCAATCAAATATAAAATACAAGTCCTTTTACATTAATTTTGGAAAGTTAGGTTTTTTATTATAAACATACTATCTTTTATTAAATATCGGGCTTTGCCTTTTAGAGTATTTTCTTTGAAATTTATATAGGATACATTTCTTGCATGAATTTGTCATCTTCTTTCATATTTAAATGCACATAGATATATAATGGAAAGGGTAAAGAAGTGATGATTTGGAGTGTGGTCAGTATTAAAGATTTGTATTGTCCGGTAAATTTAGAGAAAGTTGTGTGTGACAAGAGAAAGATGGAGTCCTAGAATCATTCACATGTACAGTACTTCTGCCTCACAACCAATAGCTGGATCTGTTCCCCCAGTCGACACGTGTTGTACGGATCTGCACTCCACCTACCCCTTCACCTTTTTCTAACCCTAATTCACATGTATAGTATTCATCACAAATAAATATAAATATTTGACTTGAAAGAATGAAGGATGATCTATAACTTATTAAATAAACATATCTGATTGGTTATCATATTGGGTCGGGTTTTGTTTAGGTGACGAACCAGGTGTTTAGGTATGCAAAGAAGGCAGGTGCGAGCTACATCAACAAGCCAAAAATGAGACACTACGTTCATTGCTATGCGCTGCATTGTCTTGATGAGGTTGCTTCGAATGCACTGAGGAGGGCTTTCAAGGAGAGAGGTGAGAATGTCGGAGCTTGGAGGCAGGCTTGCTACAAGCCATTGGTATCGATTGCAGCTCGACAAGGTTGGGACATTGATGCGATATTCAACACACATCCACGTCTGTCGATATGGTATGTTCCAACCAAACTCCGGCAGCTCTGTCATGCTGAACGCAGCAGTGCTGCCATGGCAGCTGCTACTGCTGCTTCGACTTCCGTCGTTGGTTGTAGCGGTGGTGGTCATCTCCAGTTTTAGGTTAATTACTGTTTGTGGGATGAACTTTATGGGCTGGTTAATTGTTTACTAAGATAATGGAAGTTTTAGTTTGAAATTCCATGCGGTGTATACGATGAATGACTGTAGTAATGCTTGTGCTTGCATCGGTGTTATAAATATGTTGGTTAGTTTATGACCTTTGATTTATTTAATTTGGGTCATTATTATTATTAAATTTCAATTATGATTTGTATTCGTATATGTTAAAAACAAATATTATTGGCGTTCGTTAGCACTATGTGTATTTGATAATACATATATGCAAAAACTAAACCAATTACGAATATGGTCATCCTTTTTTTTGTGACCGAGGTATTCATTTGTTTGACTAGGTTTATAGGTATATACACACTCAAATGGTGCGCTCCTATTGAATAATATGAATGTTAAACATAATTCTTATCGGATAAAATAGAAAGTAACACATTCTGAACCTGTAAGTGTTTCATGTATTTCTCCTTATTAATAGGTGAACGTGTAATGTCTTCCCATTACACAAAACCTCACGAAACCATTATCTTATAATCCACCAAGAGTTTGTAGCGACTCACAAAAGTTTCTATCCATATGTATCTAGTTTATACAATTAATATCACATTCACGTAGGATATGTTGTATTTCCATTTAGCCAAAGTCTAACTATAGCTAGTTACATCAACAACGTAATTTAACTCTATAACATTTTAATAAATAATATAAGCAAATGGTTACAATCCATATCTATGAAGTTTATAAAAAACAAGTAAAAAATAACATTCAAATATCTAATATATAGTAACCTACTAGTTTCATACATGCTATGCTATAGATTGGTCATGAACTGCAATCACAGGATTTGTAATGAGAAACTATAATGTCAAAATAATCCACTAGATTACATCTTGCATTAACTTTCGGAAAGATGCATATACTTGATATAAGCATGTAAAGAAAATGATGAAAAAAAATATTGATAGAGGATCATGGTCCAACATGAAAACATAAAGACAACGAGAACCGAACTTCATACTGCAAAAGAAAATACTAATCTTATTGATCTGAAGCAATTTAGTAGTTACAACTTCTAAAAAACATTTGCAAATCGGTAGTGATTACTCTAACTTTAAGCCGGTGGAAAATAATAAACACAAATTTAGGAATCGTTTATCATATAAGTGAATAACGAGAGAAATGAAGGAACTGGTGAGAAATCGTTTATTATGTAAGTATATATAACAAACCATATATTTGTCAAGAAATCTTTATAAATGACTTCTTGATTACTGATAACGTATACACTACAAGAATATGAGTCTACAGCAACGAAAGCTATAGGGACGACAAATATCGTTGCCATAGAGGATCATATAGGAATGACAAGTCGTCACTATAGAGTTGACTAATTTAGTTTGACTTCTGAACCGAAAGCGACGATAAATCGTTTCTGTAGTTTGAGCAGGAACAAAAAACAATTGGATGGTATCCGAAAAAGCTGTAGGGGCAACATATCGTCCCAAACATAAATTTATATATATATATATATATATATATATATATATATATATATATATATATATATATATATATATATATATATCAAAAGCCAAAGTGACGTCGTTTTAATGGGCAGCTATAGGAACAACTTATTGTCCCTATAGGGTTTCGCTGAGTTAAAAACTTTTTCCCAATCCTTCAACCTTATCGTCCTTATCGCACCCACAACATAGTTCCTCTTGTGAGCTGAGGCAAAATCGTTGGTGCCTATAAAGCGGCAGGTAAGTTTGATCGTTTATTGCCCACCGTTTCCCTTGTCCACTCCTTCAACCTTTCATTATGATGTTTTCCCTCCAATTTTGGATTTATTCTGTTTTCCGAATTGCAGGTCAGCGGTTCCCTCTCATTCCGGCGGTCTCCCTGTTTTTTGAATTTGGTTTTCTACTTCCTTAACAGGTATGAATGCTGTCTAAGTTTTAGAATGCAATAACCTTCCTTTCTCCTTATTCATGTATATGTTTTCTAGGTTATTTCCAACACTTATTTGTGTATATGTTGTCTGGGGGACACAATTGAAGTTGAGACTTGGACAACAGGAGTGCGAGATCAACATATCGTGAGTTGGACAACAAACAATTAGGTTATTGTTTTCTATTATTCTATCTTCTAAGCAAGGATGTAACAGCCCTAGTGCCCCACCCCTTTGATTGTCTCCAGATCTTTTGTAGAATACTAGTATTTGTTGTATATAATCTCAGGTCACAAATTCATCCTAGGAAAAGACCCACGGTTAACAAAGACATTAAATTTTGACTTTTTACTTGTTCAAAAAACAGTAGAGAGAAAAGTAAGAAGTTTGGGAAGTTAATCTTATATTTTTCCACAAGCAATTCTTTGAAATTAAAGGGGATTGAATTTTTCATGTTAACAAGACTTTCAGTCTTTTAATAGCTAGCATTGTTATGCCAAGACAAATTAAATGCCTTTTTGTCATTCCAATATAATGAAACATTTCATTCCTTCTCTGATTCAGTGGCACCTTTTAACTAAAATTTTTAGAGAAAAAAGGTTAAGGAACCTCAAAAAAAAGGTTAAAAAAAGGTTTAACTACATTCGGGTACTTGAGATGGGTCATTAATAAATTTTTAAATTTTTACTTATTAGTTATTATTTTAAGTTTTTGTTTTTATCTATTCCAACTTAAATATAAATGAGGTTATTTTTTTTGTCTTTTATAGAAAATGAAAGAATGGAATCGAATTCCAATTCCACTTGATTCTGCTAAAATCCATAAACCAATGCTTTTTTACCTTTCAAGCTGAAAGTTACACCCCGAGTTCACAAGCTCGAGAGTCGCAAACAGTGTAATCAAATCTATAAAACAGAAAAAATAATATAAAAGTTGATTTTCTGAATTATGTTTAATCCACCAAATTGTAAGCAAGAAATTGAAGTTTAAGGTCATGAAAACAGAAAAAACATACTTATCAACATCTATACCATTATCAACATCTATAAAACTAAATAATATTTTATGAATGCCAACCAAGCATATGAGGAACTGGAGTTTATTCAGACTCAAATTACTTTTGACATATTTCATTTCTCCAGAAACATTATGTCAAGTTGCCAATCAAGCAACTTGTTGGAGTTTATTCAGACTCAAATTACTTTTGACATATTTCATTTCTCCAGAAACATTATGTCAAGTTGCCAATCAAGCAACTTGTTATTGCTTAGTGTCATTCTTTACCTTTTCAAAATGAGTATTAATAATGAGTATCAATTTTGGTCCCTGTACTTTACTGTTAATCATAGGTTTTATCCAAGTTTTGATTTTGTAAAAAATATGTCCTAATGGTTTTAATTTGTTGTTGAATCATTAAATCTAGCCATTAGTTTGTGAATTTCTAAATAAACTATTTTTCCCTTGGACCAAACCTAGAAAAATGATATGTCCAAGGATCATATTTGTAATTTACTAAGTATTATATAGGATAATATTTTTGATGGCATATAAGTGAATATAATAGAGTGAGTTTCATTTATATCATTACATACTTTTAATATTACTTTTATCTTCTTACAAACTTTAAAATTACATGTATATCCCTTTAAAAATATAAAACTCACATTTATATCCACGTTTATTATTTAACTAGATTTAAATCAAATTAATATTCAAAAAACATTTTAAAATTAAAATTCCATATACCCTTCTCTTAGGTTTCAGTATTAAATTGATTAATGAAATTCTTCTTTAATTGTAACTAAATTGTTTTAACTATAATTTTTAATTTGTAAACGGTATTTTATTAAAATCATATATAATTTTGGATTTAGTAAAGAAATGGATTTTGGATATGTTTTCTAATATTAAATTGTTGTGATTCTAATTAAATTATTATTTTAGATATAAATACGAGTTTTATAACTTTAGACGGATATATGCATAATTTTAAAGTTTGTAATGATATAGAAATAATATATACACTTTGTAAGGATATAAACAAATTTTCTCAATATAACAATATTGTCTTAGAAAATGAAGTATCCCACTGTTAGGCTTACTAAATTACAATAGTTGAATAGACTATGAGTTGTGTATGGCAATTTACAACATACTCTTTCAAATCAATGTCATCATTTATGTAACCTTATTGTAATTTTTGTTTATTAATTTTTTTTATAACGGTTATGAGTTTTTCGGGTTTGGACCCACTTTCATCTCTAAGGCTCTAAAATCTAATCATCAAAATATTAAAAATAACATTTTAAGAAACAATAGTGAGGATCGAACTAAGGTATTCCAACTTTAACCTTTTATGTGCATGAACCATCTGAACTACAAATACCTTTGATTCTCTAGTTTTGTCCCTCTTTATTCTGAAATAGAAGTAGAATTCTATAAAAAGTAAAGGAACATAAGTAAAATGCTATAATTTGAAGTATAATTCCATAATTGAAAAAACAACATAAGTAAGATGCTATAAATAATATATATATATATATATATATATATATATATATATATATATGAAAAAGTAGAATGTTATAATAGATAAATGTTATAATATGCATACATTCTAACTTTTAATAATGAAACAGTTATGAGTATTGATAAGAGTTGGATTACGTTGCAAAATTGAAGGTGTCCAAAGTTCATAAAAGGGCTTAACAACTTCATAGAGATCGCCAAGAATCATGTCGATGATGAAGGAAAAACATGTTGTCCGTGTATAGATTGTGTGAATATGTTTCGGCATATTGTGACCACAGTTTATGCACACATACATGACCGTGGGTTTGAAGAATCATATCTAATATGGATTCATCAGGGTGAGGAATATCCTCCTTCAGATTTAGACAACCATTGGGCTTCAAAGTACTGTAGTACTAGAGTTGTGGCAGAGGAATATCCACATGAAAAGATGTTTGATGTAATAGATGATGTTATAGAAGAGGAAGATCCACATATAGAAAACATAAGACAAGAAGCAATTGGTTTAGACCCAGAGTTTGATGCATTGTTTGAAGAAGCCAATCTCGAGTTATACCCTGGTTGCAGTTGGATGTCTTCCTTAAACTTCCTAGCAAAACTGATGCACATTATATTCATCAACAGGTGGAAAGACAGTTCATTTGACCAAC